CCCGGTGCTATAAACTCTTATTCTTGACAATTTTTACAAATGTACAGGCTGTGGCCATTATTCGCAAAAAACTGAAAATTGGATTTCTGTTTTAATGAAAATTTACCACAACTAGAAGACTGTGATTTAGAAGACAATTTGTTGTACACCAATATATAGATCCTGTACATAGCTAAAACTTTTTTATTTAAGCTTTCTACCTATTGTATAGGGTGTTCGCGATATTTCCTGCATTAATAAAAAACGTCATAGGTGCCCTAACTTTATAGCATTCGGCTTCAATTTAACAGATAAGTAGAAGTCGGACCCACATTTAAAATCTTAAAGTTGGGGGCAATCAAATATGGTGAAGTGTTTTTGTTTCAAACAATATTGTTGTTGTGTGAAATATTGTTTAACTAGCAGACGTTCAGGATTCAGTACATTTTTTTCTATTATATACAGGGTTTTTCGCGAATTATTAGCTGTAATTCAAAATTCGTAAAAAATATGGCCAATCACAAGACTGTAAGTTAGAATACAGGTCTCTGACGGCCAATGATAGGGATGTGTCGTGGTTAGAAATGAGAAAGATCCCTCAACTATTGTTTGCTATTTCCAGCTGGTTCCAAATAGCGTTTCAATCTAATATTAACGGCAAACTTATCATACACGTACGGCACAGCGCGGACGAAAGCTGGAAAGATTCAAAAAGAATCAATCACAGCGGCGGGCGGCAACCGACGGCGCGATGAGAAAAATTTATGTAAATTTAGGCAATATAAATCATCGGAACCCCCCCCCCCCCCCCCAACATAACTTTTAAATAAAACCAATATGAAAAATGTGGTTTACGTTGGCGCGTTATTATTTTTGTCGTCGGGTTTAATACCGCACCGCCCCGTATCTGATTTCCGAAGTCCCCCGCACCCCCCTCCGGAGTCGTCTTTTTCTTCATCGAATTTATTAAATCGCGAGAGATGAAATATCGCCGCGGAATATTGGAAATTACGTCGAGTTTCCCCCTGAGTTGGGGGCGGGGGGGCTCCGAATGAATTAAAACCTTTCGGAGGCGGCGGACATATAAATTTTTGCCGTTCCTCGCGCGCGTACCCCCCCCCCCCCCTCCTATTTGACTTTTGACTTTCTCTCCCTCTCCCCCCCCCCCCCTTTTTTTTTTCACCCCGTTCGGTCGAAGAAATGGGAAACGCTCGATGAATTTGCAGAATTGTTCGGACGTTAACCAGTTATTTAAGAAACGGCGATACGATTAAACGGGAATAGAGGTAAGGAACCAAATTTGAGATACTTTTTTGCTCACAAAACACATTTGAACGGATAGATAATTTTATCTTGCACATTTTTGCAGTAAGTATAAAATATACAGGGTAGGACACAATTTTTTATAATCCATTTAAATAATAATAATAAACAACTATTATTTCAGACAATAGCATAACAAACATACAACACAGGGGCCAGTTAGTTATACCGTCGACTGGCGCAGTCTCTACTGAACCGGTGCATGGCACAATAGTACACAACAAAATTAAAAAAGAAATTGATAAAGACGCTCTATGCCGACAACGAATTTTTAAGGCATAGTTACAGCAAATTCTGTAGATGCAGTAATTCTTTCTTTTATTTAATTCTAAACATATTTCAATTTAAATTTACCTGGTTAAAAGTTCACGAGAACATTGATGTACATTTCTATTGCCTTAAGAACCTATTATTACGTGCCTTCTTGAGACAGAACACGGAGACCAAGACACGAAGTTTTTCGAAAAAGTAATCGTAACATTATCAAAGCTAAAAGCAGATGTTAAGCAAATAGATACTCCCAGAAACTCACCAACTCCTTCAACAATTTTAAAAAACTTCAAGTATCATTATCGAGCGCTTATGTGAAAACAGAAAAACTTTTTAATTGCTTTGGTTATAATGTAAAACGTAAAGATCGACCCACACACCAACAACGGAAGTCTAAAGTATATAACAGAATCAAAGGAATTCCTTGGGTTACTCCTTGTCATAGGAACACCATGCATTTAGGAATGAAAATTCTTCTTCTTCTTTTTCTTCCTTAGTAGGAAATGAGATTTAACAAGGCAACATTATTTCGACGGAACTTAATAATAAAGTTTTGTATAAAATATAGAATGAACAATGATTTAAAGCACCGTACTGTAGTTGTCGGGTATCAAAAAGAATCGTCAGTAACTTTGAGCAATGCTGAAAATCTGATTGTGTTAATGGAATTATGCTATAGTGGACTGAGTGTTCATTTATTCGATTTACCACTTCCCTTTTCAAAATACGTTTAAGTCTCAATAACAGAGATTAGGTTAACTAGTGTTTATGTTTCTACTATCAAGTACAGGCCTCGTAGGTAATCAGTTATCTGGTAGGCGGTACGCTTCCAGGATGTCAGCCTTTAGCTTTAAGTACCTAATCCTTCTGACAGCAGGACATCGAAACAATATATACTCTGCCGTTTCCTCATCATCCGATTTTGTGAGTGTGATGTTTGAGATTGCAGTGTCTTCAGATTTGCCCTGCTTATGCCAACAGGGTATCTATTAATGTCTTCGAATGAACTAGTCCTGGTAATCATAACCAAAGTATGCCAGCTTCCTTTGCATTTCTTGCTGATTGACGAAAAATAGTCAACATCGGATGTGGTCCTATCAGCAATGTTCCTTATTTTTTATAAAGCAACTGAATTTCTCCCGGTCTTTGTTGAGTCGAACTAGATAACGTTTCGCCAATCATCCTGTTACTTCTTCAGAGCTCGACATAAACTGGCTCTAATTGTACTCTGTACCTGCTTTTATAATGTTTGAGGAGGGGCAGAGCTAAATGAGCGGCATAAACACCATCTAGGATGACTGATTCCCATATTGGTGACAGGTAAAGACCTGAGTCGCGGTTAAGATTGTTAGGTTACTTATAAATTTATATAGACTCCAGAATTTTTCGTTCGTAGAAGAATTTTTACATGCAAGAATTTTAGTTTTATCTAATAAAATTTTATGCCGGGTTTGATGATTGTGTTCGGTAACTGCTGATGAGTTTATTTGTCTTAGTCATAAAGTTCTTTAGTGTTCTTTGAGCCTAGTTGATATTTTTCGTCTGGTCTCTCCAAGGTATTCTTTGGCGCATAAGCATGGAATGCTGTAAACTCCTTGCATCTCAAACGGAATGTTGTCTTTGGCGGATCAAATATTTTGAGAGATTTTTGGACAAGTGGTTAACTAATCAGAATATCTTAGTTTCGACATAAAATCCCTGTTTAAGAAATACACTTCACCACAACCTTCCAATAGCAATGAGGCCGAAAGCGATCCTACACTTGCCACTGTGGTCCTTCCTTACATTCAAAACATCACTGACCGCATATCAAAAGTTCTAAAGAAGTATGACTTCAAAAACCAGATTTACCACTTGTCCAAAAATCTCTCAATATCTGCGGTCCGTCAAAGCCAAATTCCATTTGAGACGCCAGGAGTGTACAGCATTCCATGCATATGCGGCAAAGAATACATTGGAGAGACCGGACCAAAAACATCAACTAGGCTCAAAGGACACGAAAGCGCCTTACGACTAACACTCATCAGCTGTTGCCATACACAATTTTTATTCGATAAAATCGTTGCATGTAATCAATTCTTCCATCAACGAAAAATTAGAGAGTCTATAGAAATCTATAAAGAACCTAACCATTTTAACCGCGGCTCAGGTCTCTACCTATCATCAATATGGGAATCAGTCATCCGAGACTGTGTTTGCGCCCATCATTTAGCTTCACCACCTTCAAACAATATAAAAGCAAGTACAGAGTAAAATACTAGTGGCGCCCGAAACCATCAAGAAGCGAACCACCGAGGGCCCTCGAGATCACCAGAGGAGCAAGCAGAAGGTAGGGCGAACCCTTGTTGTAGTATGTGCCGCGTTCTTTTAGTTAGGCTGAAAAAATGAGCTATAACCCGGATGTTAATGCAAATTTGTCGCCAAAATACAGTCCGCTACCAGTGTATTTTATATCGATTCAGCATTACAAGTCTTTCAATTTGCACTAACAAATCTTATCGGACGAAAGTTAGAAGTTTCAATAGCGGTTTACAGATTACTCTGACACCTTTCCATGTGCTAGAAGCACTTTCAAAGCCATTGTCCTCCCCAGCCGAGGTTTTTCTTTTAGCTAGCTAGCTGCTTCATGATCGGTAGTAATTTCCAAGCAAGATGCAGGAAGAAAGTCTGTGGCAGCAGCTAAGAATACACCGGTTTTTATTATCACCGTGTGCAAAACCAATGTTCACAGCAAAACTGAGAACTTTTTGTCTGTGAACAGTATTTTCAGCGTTGGTCTTCTAGCTTCGGACCCTGCAGTGTCGCTTTTGTGTTTCTATGGCCACGTCGGACGTTTCAGTTTCCTCGTTGTCGCCGTGACAAGAAAAATCAAGGCGCTTTCTACGCTGCAGCAAGTTCCCGTGAGCAGATAGCGTCCGATATTACGTGCTTTGTGTCACAGAACGCAAAACTACGCCGACAATAAAACAAAAGTCCTTTTGTACGACACCGGAGGATGTAATTCCGCGACGACGAAGTAACACCTCGGCGATATTATCGCGCGTGAACACACACACGTTGTAATCAGGCAGAGTTGTGTGTAATGGCGGTTGTTTTATTGCTGCGAGCGCATAGCTTTGCAGCAGGACATATGCAAAGTACCTGCAACGTTGCGTCGTATATATCCGCAAGCGTCCCGACGTCTGATGTATATTTATACGCAGACCGTCAGGGCTCCTTTGTTCCGAGCTAATAAATATAACGGGCGCTGTTTACGTGCCCGCGGATCGTAAAAAGAAGTTCGAAATGGGGCAGCGGATACCCCGATAACAAGTTTTTAAACGACGCAATATGTATAACGTCGCGATTACGTTAAATTAGTTTTGTCCACCTACGTCGAGTTTTTCCGGTATGTTAAGCGATAATCGGATAAAATGGCGGCACCATACCTGTCTGGAGATTCCGTGGCAAGGACATTGGTCGAGGATTTCTTCGGAACGCCCAGAGTTCGTCTGGAATGAACGAAATTTCTATTTAATATTTAGGCCGCAGTTTTTTAGTAGGAAGATTGAAGTTTATTATTTTGGAATAAATGTTCAAATCAGACTAACCATTGGATCAATTTCAAAGTTGACTTTCCTTCAAGTATTTTTATTTAATTTGAAGGTTTAAACATACACAGGGTGTTCAGTTCTATATCTCATTGATTTCAAAAGTTATGAGAAATTGGTAAATGGTAAATATAAACATTTTTTTTTAATGGAACATTGGTTTGAATTATTTTAATATTCATCAACTTTTTAATTAACTATAATACATACCTAGAACTAATAGTTTTTTCAATATTTTGTGTTTTATAAAAAAATACTAGTTTTCACACTTATTATCTTTGATGGTAGATCATTCATATTTGACACTAGCGTAACTCGAAGATGACGTAAAAGATGTATGCAACCGAATTTGAATTAGATAAATGAATAAATTTGGATCATTTCAAATTAAAAATTCTACTTTTTCTTAAATGGCAAACCATATTTAATATTATTATTTTTTTAAAGACCTTACAAAAACCTGCAACTTTGATTAACTATATGACGTATAACATAATATTTTGCGATTTATTCTAACTTTTCCAATATTTACCCATCTTTCAGTCTTAGTTGGAAATGACAAAATGACATTGCCAAAGTTTTACCTGCCAACTGAGTAAATAAATTCATAATAGTGTATTATGCAACAAGTGCGGTAAACGGCACGAAAAAATCACAATTTATCGGTTTAACGTATTACTAAATTTCGTACTATTTAAACAACATATTTATCAGTTGCCATTAAACCTACTCGTTTATCGCTCCGATCGGTTCTGCTATTGTTGTCTCTTTCTAACTGTGTACGTGAGACAGAGAGAAAAGTATTATTGGATATGTCATATAAAAAACAGAATAAACACAATTTTCTAACCTTATGTTGTTTAAATTTTACAATTGATCATTAAGCAGTTTATTTGAAGAAAAAGACTGTAATTGGAAGAAAAACCATCCAAACATGGAGGTTTTAGGAGGATTAAATTTTTAAAACCGTTTAAGCAACAGGAGGTCCTAACCTTCACTTGTACTGATGAGGCGTGGATATTTGAAAATGGTCCAATTGTCTTGGTAAAATATTAATATAAAAACTGTAAAAACCACAAAAATTTATGCGAACGGTACATAAAATGTCTATGGGAAACTTAAACTATAAATATCACCACCGACTAGTCCACTAAATTTTAATTGTAGCTTATAGCACGTAGTAATTAAATTGTCTGATATATCGCATAACATTTTTCTGCGTATTAGTTTTTGGGTACATTTTTGTAAAACAACAACAATGCATTGACTGACATGACCGTCAGAATTGGAGTACTGGACATTACCTTTCCAGTATTTCTCATAGGCTGTTGGGAATAACCTAATAATTAAGTAAGGAGCACTGGTATATTTATATAAGATCCTATATCCTCACAGTCGGATATACTAACGACGTCTCAACTAGTATAACTGGATATTCTTAGTATGTCCTAACAAGCATCCTACGGACATACGTATCTGATCTACTGTGGGCGTTCCAATTCGTAACATCGTATATCCTTGAGACGTTTTCAGGATGTCCCTTAGCTAAAACAGTATATCTCTAGGATATTCGCTATATCTCCAGGATGTTTTACGGACGCCCTTGTGAGATTTAGAGAGACCAATAAAGTATTCGAATTTGCCTCTTAATAGTTGGTGATTTTCTTCTAGGTAATTTATTTCAATATCTGAGTGTGGGGATCTTGAGGAGAAGTTTTCAACCTTAAAATGCATACCTAGGAAAGTTATTAACTAATTAAAATAATTTAGTAGACATATAACAAGTTCCAACTTGAAATTTAAATAAATACAAAAAGTAAATTATTTCTATAAAAACTTTACAAGAAAACGCATGTGTATATTTTCTGATTAAATTGAAATAATAGTTGTTACTTACCCTTCGTTTAAATATTACACATTTTTTAAACAAATACATACATGGACCTCACTTTGTTTCTTATGCAAATAAAATGAATTACAAAATGAATAGAGAGGCTTTCAAATTTTTTGGTATGTTACATAGTAAGAAATTGAAATAAACAAGAACATTGCTTGGATAATTTTAATGCTGTGGAGAATCAAGGCCCGGTACTATTTTAAAACTGTCATTTAAATTTAGTTTCTTCTTTTCATGTAGATAAAGTCCTCATTTAATATGTAAGAAAGAAATTGATATCGAAATGAATGTGGATTAATATTAATTTACGGTTCACGGTAGCAAAAACTGGTTCATTTCAAAGTCATTCAGATTCAGCTCCTGGCAATAGACAGTCGTCGCCTCGTACCCTCGTCTTATGGGAATTTGTAAAAATTACCTCAAATTTTCTTGTATAATTCAGAGTCAATTACTATCAACAATTTTGATACGATTTTTATGTATAATAAGAAGTATTTCGAAAGTCCAGGAGTGCACAATAACCTAGTATAATACGTCCACGTCGAAAAATGAAATGAAAATAGTTCATTCTTCATTAGCCGAATCCACAGTGACATATTGTATAGTATATAAATAAAACCGCTACATTTAAAAACCGAGTGTAACATAAGCAGTTCTGCGCAATTAATAACATCTTGAGAAGGAGATTATAAAATACGTTGTTGCAGTTTATCTCCCTGCGTCTTTCTTTGAATGCGCTTGGACGGTTGCCATGTCCCCGATCACCTTCGTTTGTACTTCGCCTGCTGCAGGTACGTCTGCACGCAGCTCATTTAATCTCGCTAAAATGCGGGTTTTCGTCGGAACTATGCGGTATGAACATGTTAGCCCTGAACACACTCAAATCCGCTTCTCTATAGATACTTACGAGCTGCAAACCATCACTTATGGTACGAAATCTGCATCATATCCAGCAACTAGATGTCTTTATCAAATTGGTACAGAATGCGAAGACGCTTCGCAAGTTATCAAAAAAGATTTCTATGTTGATGATATGCTGACTGGTACTGATAGCGTGGAGAAAGCAATAAAGTTAGCAAACAACGTTTCAAAAATTCTTAACAACACAGTTCAAAAATCCTGAATAAAATTGAAACGGCCGATAAAACAGACATTTTAGATTTGGGTGAAAACGAAAAAAATTAATTTGGAACGGAAGGGAAGATATGGTTTCGTACAGGATAGGGAATACTTTCAACACATTTGTGACAAAAAGGGCGGTTCTCTCCGAAATATCGCAATCGCGGGTAATTAAGCGCGTGTATTATATTAGCAAAAATTATTTTACGCGATATTTGGTTAGAAAGGATAGACTGGGATAGTTCCTTACCACAATCTATACAAACCCGATCGTTACGTTTTCGGGATGACTTACCTTCACTGAATGAGCTTAACATAGAACGACAGGTAACCTGTAAAAATGCAATTTATACTGAGCTTCATGGATTTTCGGATGCATCGGCATATGCCTATGGTGCGTGCGTGTATGTGAAAACACGTAATAAAAGGGATGAAGTCAAGCTCATTTGTGCAAAGTCAAAGGTGGCACCATTAAAGGTTCAAACTATCCCAAGGCTGGAATTAATGGCTGCGCTATTGTTAGCGAGATTGATGAGTAAGGTTACGACGTCACTTAATATACAAGTCGATAAATCTATTTTTTGGTCTGATTCTACGGTTGTTTTGGGGTGGTTAAACAAACCGTCTAATTTTTTACAAGTTTTTGTGGCAAATCGCGTTTCCGAAATGCAAGAATTATCGAATATAGGAAATTGGAGACACGTATCTACTCAAGAGAACCCGGCAGATTATGTGTCGTGGGGGTTAAACCAACGGATTTATTGTCGCTTGAACTTTATTGGTCAGAGTCGGAAGACTTTTGGCCTAAGATGTGCAACACAGAGGAAATTTTACCAGAATTAAGGAAAGTAGTTGTACAAACGCAAATATTCTCAATTCAAGATTCCATTGACTTTAAAAAAATGTCCAATTTATCCAAGCTTGAACGCATAATTGCCTATTGTTTTAGGTTTAAGGAAAATTCTCTTAAATCAAAGGAGTTTCGAAATGTAGGTGTTTTGACATATAAAGGAATTTGTAATGCTTAAAATTATCTAATCAAGCTTTCGCAAAGCCAATCTTTTAGTAAAGAAATTTTAGCACTTGAGAGCAATTTAAAAATTAGTAAATGCAGTAAGCTATTTAAGTTACATGCCTTCCTCGATGTTGACGGTAGGTGGTAGGCTTACTAACTGAAATTTTGGTTTTGATAAAAAATATCCAATCGTTTTGTCATCAAAGCACGAATTTACCAAGTTGCTTTTTATACGTCAACATCAACAATTGTTACATTCGGGTACTCAACTTTTGTTGTCCAGTATGTGCGAAAAATATTGGCCCATAGCTGGACGAAACTTAGCACGTAAGGTATATCATGAATGTATAATATGTTTTAGAGCTAACCCACGTTCAATCAGTCCTTTAATGGAAAATCTACCTAGTACACGCGTAAATCCAGGCCCTCCATTTTTTATAACCGGGACAGATTACGCAGGACCATTTTCGATTCGAGACAGACAAGGGCGTGGTTTCAAGGTGACAAAGGGTTATATCTGTGTCTTTGTTTGTTTTACCAAGCGTGCCATCCACCTAGAATTAGTACCAGATTTAACTACTGAAGGTTTTTTGGCAGCCTTAAGACACTTTGCATCACGTCCTGGAAAGCCTACTCAAATATACTCAGATAACGGGAGTAATTTTATAGGAGCGAATCAAGAGCTTATCCAACTTGGTTTATTTTTGAGAGAAAATAAGGGGTTTTCAACTGAATCTGTAGAAAATGACGGTATTTCTTAGTCATTCATTCCACCCCATTCACTTCATTTTGGTGGATTGTGGGAGGCCGGTGTTAAGGCAATTAAATTCCATCTGAAACGTGTCGCTAGTAACGCACTATTAACTTATG